GAATGTTTAATTCCTCCTGTACGAGGAGGCTAACTGGAGTTTTATATTTGAAGCACTTGAAGTTTATGGAAGCTCAGAGGTCGTACAGAGTGTGCCCATCTTACAGCTACTGTTATAAAACACAATAAACTCACCTTCTAATGTCCCCTTCATCACGTAGAGAGCGCACACTTTGGGGTTGTCGTAATAACCCTGAAACACACACAAAGCATCAGTGAATCAGCAGACAAGCTATTTAAAACCACACAGGAGTGATTATAAACCTGGTTTCTAACAACGTTTTAAAGGTCGGAGCAGCATTTACATAAAGCATCTTATGTCTGTGCTCATTTTATATAAAGTGGAATTATATTCATGTACAATCAGATATAAAACAGTTAATAAAAGATACAGGAATGTGTTTTGAGTCAAACATAAGATATTTAACATACATTAAATCTAAGAACAGGATTCAAACTCAGATATTTTAGTGTTTATTTCCGCCTTTATCTTCCTTAAACTCTAATCTTTATATGATCATTAAAAATGCCTTTTCCTGTTTGTTTTTTATCCTAATTTTATCTCAGTCACATTAAAACACACACACTTGGTGCAGGTGGATTTCGGCTGCGTGAGGGAGATTTATTTTATTCGTTGGAATAATTTTAACGTTTGCAAAAAACCAACAGACTGAACAGCGTGTCCCACTTTTATCTCTTTATAGAGAGAAGCAGAGAAGGATGGCGATGTAAAAAAAAAAAAAACAGACAGAAGAACGAGGTCAGTGCTGATTAAAAAACGTATTTTGAAGTGTGCAACCCGACAGATTTCGCCTTCAGCCACATGTTCTACAAACGCCTCCTCTGCAGCACTCAGAACTGTATCTGTGAGTAAAATATAAAAACAGAACCAGAGATCCGACTGTGAGGTGCTGCTGTATCTGAAGAACTGCAGAACCACAAATACACCCTGACACAGAGAGCACTGACAGTGAATAACACTGGTTATCAGGCAGACAGTGAACATTGTGTCCTCAGAGTCGATGTGTTAGAAGCAGGAAAAATGAGCAGCGTGAGGATCTGATCCACTTTGTGAAGGACGACTGGGTCAGAACATCTCCAAACCTGCAGCTCTTGTGGATTCGTCCTTTTGTCCCGTCTGAGTCTCGTTGACTCTCCTCCACGTTCGTTTAGACTTTCTTTATGCAAATGTCCGTCCTGCGTCCGTGTGGAGGAACTCAAAGCGTCGCCCGAACTATGAAAATGATCGCCATAAAATAAACGATATCCGTCAATAAAAGAGTCACGCGGCGCTGTGTTGATTTTCAGGGAGGGAAACGTAACACACGAGGTTTAAAGAGTGCTGTTGTTGGATGAAGTGAAGACACTGTTGCTCCTTTTCTATCATTAAATAAACTGACATTTTATTTTATTTTCAAAACTGTACAATGATAACAAATAATGAACGCAGTAACTACAGGAAGTTTGTGTAAAATGAGTAAAATTAGTGATTTATCTATCTGTATTATGTATTTTTTATCATTTTAAACAGACTTATTGCTGCTTTTTTGACAAATTCAATGTTTTCTCTACTTCAGTACTCATTTGTGAGTAGTTCCCTAACTTAAGTTGAGCTATCCGACTGCAAATACGGGCAAAATAAATGAATGTGTGTCAAAAAAATGCTTATTCACATATACAGACAGATGTTTAAGCACTGATTGGCTGATTTGGACGATATAGGAGAGGTTTTGGGAGTTACTGAGGATGCTGAATCAGTTTCTAAGTGGTCATATTTCAACTGTTGATTGTGAGGTTATTAAAATCCACAACACATAACAGCAGCAGCAGAAACAACCAGCGCTGAAGAAATATCATGTCTGAACTTTTGCATCAATGACACTGAGCTTTCTTGTTTCAAATCTAATCCATTAATCACATAAATAACCTCGAAATTAATAAAAATGTGACCACTTCCGGTTTAAAAACGGCCACTTTGTGCTTTTAAAATGTTAGAAATATATTCAGCATCCTCATTAAACCCCTAAAACTTCCTTCACTGTCTAAATCAGCCGAGCAGTTGCTGAGACATCGCCTGTATAAAAAGATGATTATGCTTATTAATGCTAATTATGCAACATATGCAAATTAACATCTGGCAGTTTCTAGAAGCTGCGGGACTCAAACGGACGACAGTCATCTTTAAATCTGATGTAAATTCTGATGCAGTAAGAAGGAAAAAGCAACGTCTGAACTTCCTGACAGGAAGTTAAATGATTTTAATGTCGATAACAAGAAAGATGAGCCTGTTTTAAGTAGTTTTAAGACACCTGAACATAAAAAACACCTGACTCACACTGTTAAGGTTGCTGTGAAGGTGAAAGTGTCACACAGACACTTTGGACCCTCGTCGCTCAGGCCGGAGATTTAGACCAAAGTTCAATAACAGTAAAAACTCCTTTGTTTCTGTTCTGCGTAATTTGCACATTTAATTTAAATTTGAGCATCTTATTTGCATCTGACTGCAAATCCAGTTTCTATCTGGTGAGTTTACACACACTGACATTTACTACTGTGTGTATATTTAAATGTTTTCTAACCCTCCTTAAAATCAATAAAGCCTCGTGAACCCTCATCAGAATCAGAATCAGAATCAGAATCAGAATTTAGTTTATTCTGATTCTGATTCTGATTCTCATGAAGCTTTTGGCGACCCCTAGTGGGAGTCCCGACCCCCAGGTTGGGAAACGCTGGTTCAGGGTCCATTTAGAGCCGCACTCCTTCATATTCATCCTACTCAAACACTACGTATGGCATCAGACGCTTTTAGATACGAGCACTAACTGGAAGAACGTCGGAGAATCTGAAAACAGAATTATTAGATCGTAAATTAACTGATTGCTGCACTACAGACGCGGGGCTGTCAGTCATTTGCATGTCTCACACACTCCACCTGTCTCACACACACTGAGCTCATTGTGTCAACCTGCTGTTGACTTTACATGTCGGTCTCGCGGTTGAGTCTTTGAAGATATCATCACATATTCAACGCGGCTGTAATCTGAAACGAAGGGCCGGCAGGTTAAAGGGGGACGGTTCAAGTTGTCGCTTTCACACTTGCAGGGTTCACTATCCTTCCAAGAAATGGTTTTCCAGGATCTTTCCAGGACCTTTTCCAGGAGTTTTTCTTGACAACACAGGACAGCACTTACTCACAAACGGTGGTTGTTGTTTGAGGGACTCTCAGTGTCAAACGCTGCGCCTCCACTGACATTTTTAAGACAAAGACGGACATGTTTTCAACGGCTTTTTGTTGCTTTTAGTAGGTTTTAATCTTCTTACGAGTTCAGATAATTATTTAAGATCTAAACTTTAAAAAGACCTGAACACAAACTATATTAAGAGAGCTTTAGTGTCTGATAAACAGCCTCGTCCTGCGTTAGAAAACAACCAAACAGCTGATAGAACAATGAGACGAAAACACTGAATCTGTCTAAAAAGAAGCCTATAAAGTCTGTATGTGTTAAAAATATTAAAAATCCATAAAACAGACAGAGAATTGTATAAAAAGTTGCCTAAACAGGAAATAATCTGCTCAACATTCATCAAAATCTCTCGTTTTACACAAACTTCCTGCAGTTACTGAATTTAACATGAAATATCCATAAAATACGTCACTGAGTCAGTTTATTAAATGATTAAAAAGGTCCCTGATGGAAAAAGAGGTTGCTGTAATAAACTCAGCAGCCTGCCTGCAGTGAACGACCGGATTCTTCCAGTTATTGCTGAAGCCACTGAGCTCGTCACGCAGGAACGGCGGACAAAGAGACAATATTTCCAGTTCCACCTGAACCGCCTGCAGCCGCTGAACAACGCAACGACTGGGGGGGAGGGTTCGGTTGGATAATGTCAAACTGTCTCCACCCTGAAGTCATCTTAACACAAGATTTAATATCTTAAAATAATAATACAGACCACTTTTACACCTGCTGGGTTGAATAAACAGTCTGATTAAAATGCACAGCTGTTTATTGTGTTCCAGCAGGTTGGAGACATTATTATTAATTATATTCTCTCTAATTAGTTTGAGCTGCAATATCGATAAACGCTGATCAGCTGACAGATTTAATTTATTCCCACAGGAAGATTCTTCAGTCGTTGACACATCGATTGACTCAAACATCAGAGATTTGTTTTGGTGTTTTGCAGAGAAAGGGAGAGACGCTGAAGCTCAGAGCAGGTAAAGCAACAGTCTGGACCAAAATAAAGAGGATAATTAAGTAGAATTAAAAAAAGGTAAAATCAGAAATGAGCTACAGGAATAGAAATATTCCCTCCACAGTTCCTCTAAGCTGCTTTAATAACCAACAACAGGCTGCGGTTTAACAGCACGTCAGCTGTCGACTCAGGATTTAATAATTAATGGATTTTAATACTTGAGACTTAATGTTGTTGGCAGATAATTAATAAAGAAATAAAGCCACACTATCAAACATAAGGCCTCAAAAACCCGATCCAAGCACCTTAAAACCAGTCGTGCAGGAACGGCAGAGAAAGAGCCAATATTTCCAGTTCCACCTGAACACAACAGCCTGCAGCCGGGGGGAGCGAGGGGGTTTCAGTTGTCAAACTGCACCTTAACTAAGTTATTTTAACTTTCGACTTCCTATTGTCATTAAAAAATAAAAAAACACCACTTTTACCCAAAAGTGGGTCGCAGGAGATTTGCACTCATTTTGTCTCATTTATATTAAAGTATTTTAAAAAGTGTATCTTGTTTTACTGATGTTACAGTCACTCTTAATAAAATATAAAAGATTTAACGTCTGTTTTCCAAGAACGTTGTGACTTATTAAACGTGTATCTCCTTAAAATGCTGCTTTACCTGGTCAAGAAAACACGACGTCGCAGAAACAGCAGTAAATAAAAACAACACATTTCTTATATTTATATGCATCAAACTTCCATTATTTGTTCCTGGAAATACTGTCTCGTTAAACGTCACCTCACTGAAGAGAAGGCAGAAAATCTATCACCCTGTTTATAACACAGCAGCTGCTGAACGAGGTGTAAGAGCGAACCGACACTCCTCCTGTGACGACACGCCATCTGCAAATTCCTCAGATGATTCAAAACAACCACACACACAAAAAAAAAAAATCACCTTTACGAACTCCACGCTGAGCTTGCCGTTGAAAGTGGACACCTCCCCCTGCACGCTCAGCTTGCCACGTCGGATGGAGAAGGGGACGATCTCGTCGTGGGCGGTGCTGTGACCCACTCGGTCGAAGATATCCAGGTCCTTCACCACCACGTGGCCGTTGAGACGCACGTCGAACACCTGGGGAAAGACACACACCCGGATCAGTTAACAGCTCACACACACACACACACACTCACACACACACAGAGATTAACTGTTAATCATTATCTTTTGGTGATAAAGAAGGTCCGGTCTGAAATAATAATCTGAAATGTGAAAGATGTTGGACAGACATTCAGAAATGGATCCAGCGTCTTTGAGTTTGAGGATGTAACTACTGCGGCTAACAAAAGGTTATGAAGGACCTCTTCTGTTAGTGGTTGGTGTTATAAAATAAAGTTATATTTCAGCTGGTTCCTGCAGACCAAAGGAGATCAGTTCTCCCAGCTGTATCTGAATTACCTGTAACCTCCTCCACAGATTTATTTTATTAACTGACCTATTCTCTTTGTTTGTTTGTTTGTTTGTTTATGTGATTGTTGCTCATGTTTGTGTTATTGTGGTTTAATATATTGTTTATATGCGGTTGGATCTGTCATGTTTCGGGGGTTGTGTTGGTCAGGAAACATTGCACGCAGCTAATTCTGGAGGCAAACATCTGGAGGTAAAAAGAGGAAACAGGATAATGAAGCTTAAGGTTTTATAACGGCCCCTCAGACTCTGCTCACCTAAATATTATTGAAAAATCTGTTGGTAGATCTTTAAAGAGGCACCAGGAATATTACAGAACTAGAAGACTTTGTAAGGAAATCTCAAACAGAAGAACTGACGGACGTTTAGCTGCTATAAAAGTGTTTGCGAGCTGTGATGTTATTAAACTTTTGTTCAATTTATGAAATAAAACAAAACAACGCATCACCGTTTGCTGCGAATATTGAGAGAGAGGCTGCGTTCACGTCTTCTCAATGAGACCAAACTGTTATTTGTCGACTGGGCGGCCAAACGTTTGCATTCAACTGCATTAAAACTAAAGTTCAAAGTTCAAACGAAGCACAAATAAAAGAAGAGCTCAGAGCAAACATTAAACATTAAACACACAGACTCCGTTACCTCTGATTCGGTCGTTTTCATACCTTTTGCTGCGACTGGGCGAAGTAAACTTCTGCATACTTCATAACGAGTATATAGTCTCCTTCCTCGCGGATGGGGACGTCGTACCCGAAGGTGTCCTCGTTGTATCGCTCCGTCTGATACAGGATCTGGTCCTCGGGACTGGAGCGCAGGATTGGCAGACGCACTCCATAATCAGACGCTACGGAGAGAAAGGAGGACAGGTTGAGCTCACATTAACACGGGAGAACTGATCACGTGAAGGCTCCGACCTTCCCCCGCACTCGGTCCCGCTTTACATGAGACTGCTCGAACATTTTTAGCCCTTTTTTCTTTCCACCACATCCCACAGAAGTCAAACCACTGCAGGACAGACGCTTTCCTAAAAAAAACTCTGGTTCAAACGCGGGTTAACGTGTCGCCGTCTTCTCTACGCCTGACGAGGGGGAATTTTGTGAGTCACTCACCACAAAAGTCACAAGCGATGCAGATTTACGTTGAATGTGATTGTAAGAACCACAGAGAAGAAGGAAACGCAGCTACGACAGACTGGGACTCACAAGAGCTGTGAAACTACAGCTTCCTGTTACTGTACTCAGGGTTCCCACTCTTTATTAAATCATCTGTCAGGAGTTTCTAACGCGACAATACAGGAGAGCACTTACTGCTTACAAACTGATCTGGTCTTTTAAATCAACCTCCAGGAGTTTCTGTGACTAGAAAACCAGTTTCTGACTCTTCCAGGATGCGAGGGAACGCTGTGGGGAGAATTAAAACAGATTTAAGTCTTTCACACGCTGAAAGGCCTAACCTGACTTGTGTGCAGAGCATAGAGCCGTCGTCAGCTACAGGCAGAACAGAAACTATATTTTTATCGACCTCTCAGCATCGGTGACGTGTGACACAAAGCGGAGCTGCACAGTGTGGTGAAACGCTTCATTTGGATCTTTATGTGTCACACTGCTGATGTGCAGAGAGACTGTTAATGCTTTAGTATTTACAGTAACTCATAGTAACACTGTTCCTTACTGTTTGCTCTCTTAATATAACACTCCAATATCACGTTAAAAACTGTCGAACAGACGTGAACAAATAAACACAAAAAAGAAGCGTATTAATCTGTATGATCAGAGAACATGATAGACTCCTGTAATCTTAAATATTTTATAAACTTGAGGTACTACTGATGTATGATTTGTGCGTGAGCGTGCTTCATCACTTATTTACTTTAATAAAAAAAAAAAACTTACTGCTATTCTTGGCGTGGCTGCACAATATCGTTAACTTTAGATCAGAGAAACATACATAAAATAAACGCTCCTAGCCTCCGAATCTCCATTATTCATTCATGTCTCTGTTCTGTGGTGACGTACGGTGAATCCAGGTCGGTAGAGACGGCGAGCTCCTCAGAAAGCTGCGGTACAGTTCACACATTGTGTACGATTGTTTAAAATGATAAAGAATATATAAAATGACAGATCTGCATAAGATAATCCTTTATTTATCCTCCTAAGGAGAAATTCATTTTTACACAGTAAAATATTGCTAATATTATTAATATTAGAAGATATAAAAACTATAAATTAAAGTATATACACTCCACTATTGTTGTTTCCAAGTAGGACATTGGAGTCCAAAATATGAGCAGAAAAATTAAACTAAACTAAAACTAAAACTACTAAAGTGGAAATTAAATATAAAGATTTTCCCAGAACAGGGAAATAATCTGGTTTATAATCCATTAAAATCACTCGTTTTTACGCCAAATTCTTCCACTTATTGGGTTCATTGTGCAGGTTTTGGATATAACATGAAAAACATCTATAAAATATGTGGACTTTAATGTTTATTAGAGGCCGATATCTGACTTTAATGTGTTTATTAGAGGGCGATATCTGACTTTAATGTGTTTTATTAGAGGCCGATACGTCATTTAATGTGTTTTATTAAGGCCGATACGTGACTTTAATGTTTATTAGAAGCGATATGTGACTTAATGTTTTATTAGAGGCCGGATATCTGACTTTAATGTTTATTAGAGGCCGATATGTGACTTTAATGGTTTATTAAAGGCCGATATGTTGACTTTAATGTTTTATTAAGAGCGATTATGTGACTTTAATGTTTATTAGAGGGCCGATATGTGACTTTAATGGTTTATTAGAGGCCGATATGTGACTTTAATGTTTATTAGAGGCGATTTTAATTCTGACTTTAATGTTTATTAGAGGCCGATATGTGACTTTAATGTGTTTATTTAGGAGGCCGATATGTGACTTTAATGTGTTTATTAGAGGGCCGATATGTGACTTTAATGGTTTATTAGAAGGCCGATATGTGACTTTAATGTGTTTATTAGAGGGCCGATATGTGACTTTAATGTTATTAGAGGCCGATATGTGATTTAATGTGTTTATTAGAGGCCGATATGTGACTTTAATGTTTATTAGAGGGCCGATATGTTGGACTTTAATGTTTTATTAGAGGCCGATATTGTGGACTTAATGTTTATTAAGGGCCGATATGTGACTTTAATGTGTTTATTAGAGGCCAGACGGTGTTTGAAGCAGTGTGCTCACCTTGCTCTCCTCTTGTGCTGACTCCTCATTAGTGTGAGCTGACTTACGGAAGCATGCAGAGGTTACCACAGCTTGGAAATGTCTGCAAGCAGCAACGTCGCAGGTTCGAGTCCCACCTTAAACTCCACACACACCACACCACACACAACACAACCCACCACACACACACACACAACACACACACACAACACTCACCTTTGCCGAGCTTCCCTTCCCAGCGGGTCCTTTTTGAAGTGGATGCCGTGCACGTCCCACATGTGCTTTCTCCCCCGGCGTTTACAGCCCAGGAGACCCGCTCAGGAGAGGCTGGGCCCCCGCCGTCCGCCCAGCCTCTGCCCCCCCAGCAGCGACAAGCACCCGCTGCGACCAGCCCGACGA